TAATTTATTTATTTCTTAATAAATAAATAAATTTTGAGGGGGCATTTGTAGACATAAAAATAAATAATTAAATAAAATAAAGAAAATGGATTGAATCGATTTAAATCATTAGTCCGAGCTTGTGAGCTGAGCCGAGCTTGGCTCGTGGGCTCGTCCAATTTTATTTTTTTTAAGAGTTTTACAAATAAATGAAATAATAGAAAACACTTTTAAAAAAACTAAAAAGTGTTAAAAAAATACAAATAATTTAACAAAAACAATTTTTATTTTTTTATTTATATCATATTGTAATACTTTTTATAAAGTATAAAATATTTATATAATGAAGACGAATTATTTTTTTAAATATATTTACAAAAATATTTTTTTTATTTCTTTTTAAAGTAAATAAAATATAAACCATTTTCCTTTATCCGGGCTTGGGACCGGCTACATCAATTTTAAGTAGGCGAAGTTAAAAATTATACACGAACAACTTGTTGTAACGTGTTCAATTTTTTAAAGGAAAAATTAAATTTAACAAATAAAAAATAAAAAAATTTTGATTAATATAATTAAATCAAATATCACTGACCTGACGACATGCAATTTTATCGTGTTTATCTTGTAGTAAAAAATGAGCGTCCTGTCAATCATTCACGCACATTAACGCTTCCAAAACATCTTCTTTCAGTCGGCTCCTGGCATTGATCAAAACCCTTTTACCTGGACTAAAAGCAGACTTCGAAGCAACAGTGTTAACCGGAAGTGTCAGCAGATCTTTCGCAATTATGGTAATAATTAGCCAACGTCTTTTATACTTTCGCCAGAATTCAATTACTTATTCTGAACTTTTTAAAATTGTTCTATCTGTTGACATATTATGATTGAAATAATCAATTAATTCGACGGGCATCGCATTTTAAGTTTCGATCGATGTTTGATGAGATGCAAATGTAGACGACATGGCATTAGATGAACACATTGCAATTGCATCATATTTAAATGTATTAATGCCTTGAAATAAATTCATTATTTCGACATCATCTTTTTCAATTTCAGTAGAAGGAGTAGGTGCAGAGGGTACCCGACTAACATTCGCACCCATTCTTTTCGCATATAAATCATACATTCCACATAATGTTTGCTCTAAATTCTTATAGGTGATAGGTATATCAAGTATTAAATCTTTATTGATTTGATCAATTACGTATTTAGTTCCCGAAATATTATATCGAGGGTCTATTGCGCATGCTAAAGGAAATAACATAGGCAGTTCTTCCCAATATTTTCTAAACTTTAATTTCATAACAATTATAATTTCACTAAAAGTATGTTCATTTTTATATTTATGGAATGTTCTTGCAATTATATAAAGACGTTCAAGCACCATTCAGTTTATGAGATAATAAACGCCCGATAAAATCTTTGTGGTCTCATAAAAAAATGTCAAAAATCGTTTTTAACTTTCAAAACTAAAATCCAATCGGATTCATTTAACATACCATCGTTATCACTTTTAACGTGTCTATTGTTATAAAAGTCAGTTATTAAATTTTCGAAACCTTCACATGACTTTAGTAGCAAGTAAGTAGAGTTCTATCTATGGCCTACGTCGTTAACAAATGTTTTAGCAGTCGTCACCCCTAGTTCGACACAAAAATCTTCAAATGTTTGTTTTCTACTAGGAGAGATCGTAATATCTACTAATGCATTTCTAATCCTTTGAAGTTCATCCTTTATATATTTTAAACTATCTTGTCCAATCAAATTCAAGATATGACACACACAACGAATATGAAACAAATACCCACCAAAATCAGGTTGAAGTGTTCTACACAATTTATCGACGACTATCTTATCAAAAGTAAAAGATCGAATTTTAGTCTCACATTGATATTCTCTAATAATACTGAGAATAACATTATATATATTATTAGCATTGTGAGGAAACTAAATAATTCTAAAAGTAATAATTTTCTTATGCATACACCAAAGTGGGTCTATATAGTGTGCGGTTGTAGCTATATATACTCTTTTATTAACCTCTTCCCATATATCAGAAGTTAAAGATATAACACCTCCATATTGTTGCAAATCCATAATTAATTGTTGTTTTGAATTATTGAAATAATTTATTGTGTCGACACAAAAAGTGTTTCGATTTACCCCCAACGTACCTCGGTTGTAGATATTCTTTCACGAACGAGACGAAGTGTTGGTTGTCTGAAATAGCCAAAGGTAACTCAGTGGCAGCAACAAATTTCACCATTTCGATTTGAGTATTGTCCTCCGAATACACCCACGTGGACAGAGGTGAAGTTGTAGAACCGGCGCTTGAACTACCAAATTGCAATTGTATTTGACCAGCTGGAAGAAGTCCATGTCTGGCCGCACATGCTTTGTAGTGGCGGTTGAGATAGGTGGTATCAATTCCTTTTTGTCATGCCAATCTTTGTTGGCAGTATTTACATACTGTTTTAGATTCTGTAAGGCCATCGACGACTTTTCCCATTGAAATCAACTTAAAGTGATCCCAACATTTTGCTTATTTTTTAGCCTTTCGCTTTCCCCTCGCATCTGGGATTAATTCGGCATCTTCATCCTCATGCTCCGCTTCAGGATCGTTAATATCATCCAAATCAATTGGATTGTGACTTCCCTGACCGTGAATGTGAACATCTTCAGGTATCGGTAGGTTATTTAGACCGGTAAATTCATTTGAAAATTGACTTTGCGGTGTCCTAGGCGATTCGTCATGATGTGGCCCACATCCTGTATCGAACAAGCTCTCAACAAATGAACGTTGATCCATTTGTTTGATTGTTTATGATGAAATCTTAACTAGAAAAATATAAATGTAGTGAGATTGTTAAAATTGAGAATTGGATGAATTGAAATTGTAACTAATAAACTGTAAAAATTGAATTCATATTGTATATTTTGCAACACAAGAGAGTAAAAACTCGATAATTGATATAATAAAAGAGAGTTGAGAGAGTTGGAGACTTGAAGTAGCAATTGATATGGAAAAAAATAAAGAGGTGAAGGGGTATTTATAGTAGAAAGTGAGAAAAAAATTTTAAAAAATAATTTCAGTGACCGTTTGGTCACTAAAATTTTTTCAGCGACCAAACGGTCACTTTAAATTTGAGGGCTCGACGAGCCACAAGCTCGGCTCATTCAAACGAGTGGCTCGTGGGCTCACCCACAAGCAGCTCGCCTTTTAGGCGAGGCCTGCTCAGCTCATGCTCGAGCTCGTAATTTTACAAGCCCGAGTCGCCCACGAGCCCCATTTTTAGGAGCCAAGCCGACGCGCAGCTCGGCCCTTTTGACATCCCTAAGGCCCATACCACATTTTAAATAAATAAATAAACAAATAAATAAAATCATAATTACTCAATTATCTCTTTTAATTAAATATAATTGAGTAATTACCAAAATTAGCATGAATTCTCCCCTATATGACCAATTTTCCATAAGATAGGGGCACAGAAGAAGAGGTAAAGAGGAAGCAAGAAAGAAAGCAGAGAACGCTGGCCAAAAGAAGAGAATAAATTCTCTCAAACCTAATCTCGGTTAACCCCAAGAAGATTAAAATCTTCTTCGAATCAAACAGGTTCACGCCAAGTTCAAGAAGATCAAAGTCTTCTTCAAATCAAATCAAATTCAAGTCCAAGTCGAAGCCTCAAGATTCAAGTTCCGAACAAGTCAAGTCTCGACAAATCAAATTTTCAACAAATTCTCGAAGATCAGGATTTAAGCCACGTGGCCCCTCATTTTCAAATATTCAGATTATTAATTAGAGGATTTTTGCAACTTTGCAATTACAAGAAGGTCAACATCATTTGTATTTATTAAAATACAATTTGTAACGATTTTTGTATTTTAATATACGAAATTCCATCGTACAGTGTGATTTTTTTGGCATGTTTTATTGCGTTTTTGAGGTGGTGGTGGCGGGTTTGTGGATTCTTTGATGGGGTGGTGGTTAGATGTGGTGTAAATGGAGATAAATGGTGGTGGTGGTGCATTGTGCGATGGTGGTGGTGGTGGTGTGCTGTGGGTGGTGCGTTGTGCGATGGTGATGGCGGTGGTTGTTGCCGTGGCAATGACAGTAGTGGGTGGAGTATCTGTGACCAATAATTAGGTGTCCGTGACCAACTATTTAGGAGTTTGTAACCAACTATTTAGCTGATTTGTGACTAAATATTAGGTATTTGACTAAAAAATAATTTGCAACCAATAAATTGTAATTTATGTGACCCATAGATAAAATGTGACTTGTAATTTGAATGATCTGTGACCTTGAAATAATATGTGACCTACAAAATTTTTGATTTGTGACCACAAAATAATCAGTGATCAATTAATTTGACGTTATGTGACTAGTAAATAAATCTGTGATTATTAATTATGTAACTGTGACTTTATTATCATTATTTAATAAATATTTTTAATTTATTAAATGCATACCTGATTTTTGAATTTTCAAACTAATTACTTGATTTTTGAATTGGGGTAAACAGAGTCCCTGAGATGTGATTTTTTTCCTTGCCATTAAATCTCAATCTTGCATCGTCTTTGGGATCAACAAATTAGTCTCCGATTCATTACAACCTTAGGAAAATCTTTAAGGATTACATTGGATTTTAATTGTGCATGATTAGCCCCTATTTGGTTTTGTTAAAAATTAGAGTTTAATTAGATAATGATTGAATACTTGATAAAATTTATGGGTCCTATAAAGTGTTGTCGACTTTGATTTAAAATTTATTAACTTTTTAGCTCAACCAAACAGGGCTTAAAGAGATAAGAGATTATTTTCTTTTGACTATGAAGTGTAGACAGCCAATCAGCTGGAAAGTTGAGAGCAAATGGGAGTTTAAGGTACTCGAAACAAGGACAAATGAAAAAGTGGCACAAAGTAAGTTTGAAAGGAAACGACGCCGTCATGATGCCTGAAATCCAGCAAGAATAACAGTCTGGATTCGGACAAGTTTTGTCGATTGTCGACCGCCACATGCTCGGTCTGAGATTCACAAATGGCTACAGTTTCAAAAACTGGTAAAAGTACAAAATTGCCCTCATATGTTCATAGCCGTTATAACCCGTTTGAAGACCCGAATGCAATTTAGGATACATCCGTCATTTCCAATTTCTCCCTCCCTCTCTCTGTAGATTTCCACATCAAACGAAAAAATCCATCAAAACACACAAACACGTACTCAATCACTTTGAGTTCTCTTCTAGGGTTTCAAAAGCTTTAGCCATGGCTTCCTCTTCTTCTAAACCTGAAGAATTCGGTGGCGGCGGTGGCGGAAGAGGTGGAGAAAGCTCGGAAGCGGCGGCGTTCCCCTTAGACACTGATAAACTTTTACTGTACAGAGGCCTGAAGAAAGCGAAGAAAGAGAGAGGTTGTACTGCGAAAGACCGCATCAGTAAAATGCCACCTTGCACCGCCGGAAAGCGCAGCTCCGTTTATCGTGGTGTCACAAGGTATACTATGTAACATGTGATCTACTTCGTGCTTCAATATCTTGCCTTGATGCGATGTTGTAATTTATTTACTCTATGAGTAATTGGAAGAGTCAATTGAGTTTGAATACATTCAGGTTTATGATCTAATTACTTATTTAAAGTATGTAAGCTTAATTTGTACTGCGAAGAAATTCTTCTCGTATCACCGTGAACACGGGGAATTCTATAATAAGGTACAATTTTTTATGCATAAGATAGTTTCGTCTTGTCTTTATTCTCATGCTCGGAATCTGTTCCTCAAAAGCATTATTATTTTCTTTGATCTGTTTATGTTTAAAATTTTTCTTAGATCGGTTTATCTATAAGATTCACTGGACAAGCCTTTCGGAAAGAGTGAGTTTTGCTATTGATGCCAGGCATAGATGGACCGGTCGTTATGAAGCTCATCTTTGGGATAAAAGTACCTGGAATCAAAGCCAAAACAAGAAGGGAAAACAAGGTTAGTCTCTTTACTATGTAAGCATGCAATTGTGTAGCTGATTCTTGTTAAAATGCCTACTAAACCATCTAATTGATCCTGATGCTTAATATTTTTTTTCCCTATATTTATGCGCTGAAATTGGATCTCTGGTGGTGCCTGACATGCCTGAACAGTTTACTTGGGTGAGTATTCTGATCGGTATATTTCTTGGAACATATAAATGACAACAGAATTTTGACTTTATATTGACATTTCACTATATCAATGGCTCTAGGGGCTTATGACGACGAGGAAGCTGCAGCAAGAGCATATGATCTTGCTGCTCTGAAATATTGGGGCCCTGGAACTCTCATAAACTTTCCTGTAAGTCATTGCAGATTAAAATTTCACTCTGTGTAACAATCATAAGCACGTCTAATCTTTGTGTTTTAAGTTCTTTGATTTATAATCTGACAGGTTTGATTTGTAGTCATCCCAGTTGGTTTTCTTTGCATGTATCAATAAAGCTAATTGGGGTCTGCAGGTGAAAGATTATACAAGAGACCTTGAAGAGATGCAAAATGTCTCAAGAGAGGATTATCTTGCATCACTTCGAAGGTGAGTTTATACTTTGGGTATATACCACGAATTTGAGTTTGCTGTTTCTTATGACGCATTTCTTGTACAGAAAGAGTAGTGGTTTCTCAAGAGGTATCTCCAAATACCGCCCCCTCTCCAGGTATGCTTTTGTATGTTCATTGTTCTTTATATGCAATGACAGCTGTATAAGGCATGAATGTGGGTTAGTTACCATCAATACGTCCCCTTATCAGGAAATACTGATTTAGTTTCTTGATGCTTCAACTTTTATTATAAGCCTGAATTTTGCAGTCGTGTATAATTTTATTTGGCTTCTGTTCTATCAATTTTCACTATGTCATTAGTCGATGGGATTCACAATTTGGTCATATGCCTGAAGCTGCTTACTTCAACAACACACTCTATGGTAAGTATAGTTAGAACATTGAGAAAAAAATATAGAACATACTGCGTTTCTGTTTACGACATTTTGAGCATTTTTCTGCTGTTTTTCCTCACAAGTCGATTGCTAATTGCTTAGTAGTTCTTTACTTCTAAAGGTTCCGGTGATGAGAGAAGCATAGAAAGTGAGTATGCAGGTGGTTTCTGCATAGACAGGAAGATTGATTTGTCGAGTTACATCAAATGGTGGGGAGCAAACAAATCCAGTCAGACTGACTCTCATTCAAAGTCATTAGACGAAACAAAACATGGTTGTCCGGAAGACATTGGTAGTGAGCTTAAAGCTCTAGAAAGGTCGAACAAGCCCACTGAACCCTATGAGATGCCCTGTCTAGGTTTGTCTCTGGAAGGAAAAAAGCATAAAACAGTGTCTGCTATGAACATTTTGTCACAGTCAGCTGCATACAAAAGCCTGCAAGAGAATGCACTTAAAAAGAAAGAAAAGGATGAAAATGACGAGAATGAAAACAAAAGTAGTATAAAGAAAATTGACCTTGGGAAGACGGATGAGAAATTCTGGCATGATGGTGAAAATGAGAGACTTGGAGTTGCATCTGGGATAGCTGGAGGATTATCCATGCAGAGAAATGCATATCCACTAGCTCCTCTTTTGTCTGCACCACTTCTTACGAATTATAATGCTATTGATCCCTTAACAGATCCTGTTCTTTGGAGTTCTCTTGTTTCTGTTCTTCCTACTGGATCTTCGCACACAACTGAGGTTTGTCTCTTTTCCTGATGATTTATTTTGTTGGGGTTACAATTCTCTTTTAATACGCTTACACTCATGTACTTATCACTGGACAAACATAACTAAAAATAAAAACTTCATGCATAAAACTCAATGACGTGGGATAGAAGACTGGAGGAGTTGAAGTTATGTTACATCCAGTGATAATCACAAAGCCACCGAGCCACTCCAGTTTGTTAGACTTTTTGTTTATGATCTGGAAACTTGGTACGAATTTTGATAAATTTGAAAGACCATGTAGAATACTTGCCCCTGGTCTTCAGCAATATATGCTTTGTTAGATATTTTTTTCTTGAAATTATCTATCAGTTACACTTGAGATCCTCGTCAAAATTTCTGTACAGATCTGCTCCCTAGCAACAGTTGATCAATTTGTGCAGTCAAAAAGGGTTCTGTTATCACCTTAATTTGGTCTTGGCAAGTATGTTTGTCAACTCTTGCGAGGTTTAATGTAACATTGAACACCTTTGTTCTGTAGACAGTCAAGTGTAGGATCACGATTCACTTTACTGTAGATATGTCAATCATTTCACTTGTTTCGTGAAAGGGAAATTTCCTCCCTGATGCATTTATTAACCGTGACAACAATTTGTGCAGGTTATGAAGAACGAATCCAGCTCAGATTATACTTTCTTTCAGCAAGGAGATTAACAATTCACACTTGTTTCTGCAATCAAGTTAAAACCGATGCCTGCTTGAGATTTATTCGAATCAAGCAAGGAATTCCCATGAGCAAACATAGGAGAAGCTGAAATGAGAACTGCTAGAATTGTGTATACTTTGTTCTTGTAAATTATTTAATTAATATTATGCTTTATGTTTTATTTCTGGAAGACGACACGGGATGAGGCTTGGGGGCACGCATAGAAACTAGGAGGCAATATTCTTACTATAAATAACATTATTCCGTTATATTTTGAAATTATTTCTTTGTCGATGAAAATTGACGAAATTTTTTTGACAAAATTTTGAATGCTCCTTATATAGACTTTGAAAAGTCAATTGATAAATGTAAATTGTTTTTGATTAACCATGGAATACATATACAAAATTCAATCGAAAATAGAGACAAAAATCGTTGTTAAACCTTGCATGTCAAGTTTACTTTTCCTTTTTTATCAATCATATATTCTCCAATGAAATAATGTTATACGTAAATTTTAAAAAAAAAATCATTATTTTTAAGAACACATTCTTAAAAAAAATAAATTACTATTTTAAAATCAAATTTTCTTTATAATGAGAAAATAATGGGAGCCAAACTTTTTTGGAGTATTTTAAGGACTAATGGAGATTACAATTTACAAAAACATATGAATAATAATGAAAAATAATTTTAAAATTTGACCCAATAGTAAATACTAAATAGGTCCATGTAACCAACCGAGGCAATAAGGGGCAGTCCCGCGCATACGAAGGATTTAAGAAACCGCAACCACAGAACAAAAATACTGAACACATGATCCTTGTCTGTAAATGTATAAGAGAAATCTGACTTCAGTTCCAGGAATTTTTTCACGAGTTATTACTGCTTTTAATTGCAAGTCCAGTTTTATCCATACAGCCCAATCGAAACACCCTTTCTATTCTCCGTTCACTTTGGAGGTTTTAGCATCCAAAATCGCACCGGTTCTACAAAAAGACCCCTCTCTTTCTCCTTCTGTGTTTCATCAAGCGCAGCAGATTCACGCCCAGATTACTGTAAATGGACTCCAGAAAGTGGGCATTCTTGGCACAAGAATTTTGGGTATGTACGTTTTGTGTAACAAGTATTTTGATGCCAAGGAATTGTTTTATCAGCTTAATTTATGCTATGCTNCAAGAATTTTGGGTATGTACGTTTTGTGTAACAAGTATTTTGATGCCAAGGAATTGTTTTATCAGCTTAATTTATGCTATGCTGCTCCTTGGAATTGGATGATTAGATGTTTTACCATGGCGGGCTATTTTGGTTTTGCAATTTTATTCTATTTTAAGATGTTGGATTTTGGTACTTGGCCCGACAAGTATACTTTTCCTTATGTAATTAAGGCTTGTGGAGGCTTGCGTTCTGTTAAGTTAGGGACATATATACATGGCTTGATTAAAGATTTAGGCTTTGAGATGGATGTGTACGTTGGTAGTGCTCTTGTCAAGTTCTATGCAGATAATGACTGTATAGAAACTGCACATCGTTTGTTTGATAAATTGCCTCAGAGGGATAGTGTTTTGTGGAATGTAATGCTTAATGGTATTGTAAAATGTGGGGATTCGGTGGATAACGTGATTGGTTTGTTTGTGGAAATGAGGAATAGTGTAGTTAGGCCTAATTCCGTTACTTATGCATGCATTATTTCTGTTTGTGGAACGAAGGCAACGGTTGGATTTGGTACTCAGATTCATGGGTTAATTGTTAGATGTGGGCTGGATATGGATACTCTGGTGACTAACACTCTGGTCACCATGTATGCGAAATGTCATTGCTTGTTTGATGCACGGAAGTTATTTAATTCACTAAAACAAGCTGATTGTGTGACTTGGAATGGGATGATTGGAGGATATGTTCAGAATGGGTATATGGACGAGGCATTGGATTTATTTCCTAATATGATAGCATTAGGTGTCAAACCGGACTCCGTTACTTTTGCAAGTTTGCTTCCGTCAGTTTCTCACTCTGAGAATTTTACTCAAGGAGAGGAAATACATGGTTATATCATAAGACATGGTGTGACTCTGGATATTTTTCTGAAAAGTGCACTTATTGATATGTACTTCAAGTGCAAGAATATGGAAATGGCTTGCAAGGTCTTCCACTGGGGCTCTGCAGTAGACACAGTTATTTGCACTTCTATGATTTCAGGGTTTGTGCTCAATGGGATGAATCTTGATGCCTTGGAAATTTTTAAATGGATGCTTGATAAGAAATTGAGGCCCAATGCTGTTACATTAGCCAGTGTTTTACCAGCTTGTGCAGGTTTGGCCGACTTGAAATTGGGTAAGGAGTTGCACGGTAACATCCTTAGAAATGGGCTTGAACAAAGATGTTATGTGGGAACTGCACTAACCGATATGTATGCTAAATGCGGAAGGCTAGATCTTGGTCATCAAATTTTTACAAGGATGTCTGAAAGAGATTCTGTATGCTGGAACTCAATTATTACAAGCTGTAGCCAGAATGGCAAGCCAGGACAGGCCATTGATCTTTTCCGCTGCATGGGTAAGGAAGGAGCCAAATATGACTGTGTCAGCATATCAGCTGCTCTTTCTGCATGCGCAAACTTACCAGCGCTTCATTATGGGAAAGAGATCCATGGTTACCTGACGCGCAATGCATTCAGCTCTGATATTTTTGCCGAGAGTGCACTAATAGACATGTATGCTAAATGTGGCAATTTGTATTTAGCACAAGAAGTTTTTGACACAATGGAGTACAAAAATGAAGTTTCTTGGAATAGCATAATTTCTGCTTATGGAAACCACGGTCTACTAAAGGAGACTCTGGCTCTATTTCATGAAATGAAAAAAGTTGGATTCCACCCTGATCATGTCACTTTTCTTGCCATAATATCTGCCTGTGGTCATGCTGGTCAACTCGAAGAAGGAAAGCATTACTTCAACTGCATGATTCATGACTATGGGATTGCAGCTCGAATGGAGCATTATGCATGCTTGATCGATATGTTTGGACGAGCTGGTCATATAGAAGATGCGTTCCAAGTGATAGAGAATATGCCATTTACTCCAGATGCAGGCATCTGGGGGACATTACTTGGGGCTTGCCGTGTTCATGGTAATATGGAGCTTGCTGAAATGGCTTCAGAACATTTACTTCACTTGGACCCACAAAATTCTGGCTACTATATATTATTATCAAATTTGCAGGCTGATTCTGGAAATTGGCAGAGGGTTCATCAAATCCGGAATATTATGAAAGAAAGAGGAGTACAAAAAATACCCGGCTTTAGCTGGATTGAGTTGAATAACATCACCCATATGTTTGTTGCTGCAGATACAAGTCATCCAGAGTCTGCTCAGATCTATCTAGTATTAAAGAATCTTCTTCTGGAGCTCCAAAAGGAAGGATATGTTCCGCAACTGTACTCTCTAACTCAGCAACTGGCTGAAGCAGTGTCTTTACAAGCAGAATCCAATTGATTCCGAAAAATAATTCAGCATCAACTACTTACCAGTAAGCAACTTTGTATTTATTATGGCTTAAGCAGATCAACATGAACCAAGATGAGTTGGTTTTTCTTTTTGTAGCAATCTTCTGAAGTGCCAATAAGTTACTTTGGTTCTTTGTAGAGTTATTTTCTTTAAACATGCTCCATTATGATCTTTGGACAATGTATCTGAATTTATGACAACGACTTTTGGTGTTCCTGTACGTGAAAATTTGGAACCCGAGCAATTCAAAACCATTTTCTGTAATTTTTGATTCGCAGTCAATGGAAAAGCAAGAAACAGGTTAGCATACACTTTCGAATCACATTTGGTGGTTCAGAACAATACAACAGATCAGATGGATTCATGCCCACGAGCCAGATTCATTAGACATATGAGGTTGTGCTGTCTTCAAGATGCTCTCCAGTGCAAGGAATGATTCTGGCTCCAAGTGAAGGTGCAAGGCATGTCAATTTGTTTAGTTGTTTTCCTTAATAGCTACTATTTGTCAAATTGGGCAACCATAGGGAAATTAATGGTGCATGGTGCATCAGTCGTAAAAATAATGAATTTTTGAAATGAAATGAACAAATAAAATTGGATACAGTTTTGGCACATAAGAAATGTGAAATTTTTTGTGTTACTGGCTTTTATTCTCTTGTGTATGCATACTTGGGTATTCCTTTGCTAAACTATATCTTATCCTAAGAAAATCTCCTTAATGTAAACACTAACTAGAGGATTGTGAATTTTGAATAAAATGTTAAAATGTGTGTTCCGGTCTTTCCTAGTTAATTTTGATCTTGACATTGCCCAATGGATATTATTCGTATATATGGTGTAATCTATGATAATAATTCTGGGATCGGTTTGCAGGGCCAGCGGTATATTCTAGAATTTATTGAAGAGAGTTTAATGACGAAAATTGGCTGAAGTTTCCCATTTTTTTGCATTGTCAATTTTTGCTTACCATTTTATTGACAAGTGTTGTTTCTGTAACTCAGTTGATTGTGGCATGACTACCTCAACTGAAACTCTAAAGTCTAAACTTCGAAACTCTTATTCGTCATGGATCGACAGTTGTTTTTAGGTTTAATTGAAAACGTGTCTAGAAAATTGTTTAAAAGTATCCATATAACCAACGTGATTTAGATAATAACCTTCTATATCAAAGTGTTTGTTCATGGTAGAATTTGGTCCATGGTTAGTCAAGCATGGCTTGAAAGTTCGATTAGCTTAGAGCCCAACCTATTTATTAGTCTCCACTGGGGCTATTTATTAATTTTTTATATTTAACAAATTATACGAACTATATTTTGAGAATGTAATATGATAATAAATTTAAAAAATGTTTAAATGATTAGGGCATGTTTGATGCACAAAACAATTTTATTTTCTTAAACGAGCAACGAATGAGTTTCTATTAATGTTAGTATTGGTTGGTACACCTTTTTCTTAGATAGAACGTGGCAAACAACACAAACTCAAGTATCGTTAGGGTCCAACGTTAAAACGTGCCGAAATTTACTTGCATGGACACAAGTGGATCCAACATCTGTTGTCCATGTTGCCATTGTAAAAAACACAATCCTCATCTTCAAGCAAGTTTACAGAATGCATGGAGAGAGCAAAAAGCTCATCTCAATGGGTATTAAAAAAAAAAAACTCAGGCGGTAAAATTGTCATAAATATATCTCGAGTTCCAATCAATACCTAAGAATTAGTGTCCAAACAACTTGCCCAGGAGTGAGACGAAAAGAAAAGAGAAACCGAACACAATAATACTTTGTTCAAGGACTCAGCATTAATGACGCAATACATTCAGCAATCATGGCATTTTACATTTTATATTCAATGTAGTCAAAAACTGAAGCCCTGTGAATTGAATTTAAACAAAATCTAGCATCAAAATATCCAGACAGTATGGGCAAAAGTGACAACTAAACAAATTGAACATTCATAAAAACACTTTTTGACAATGCCAAATGTTTACAAAAGATAAAGCAAAGTATTCTCGCCATGTCTTGCAAAGATTCCATTCTTCAAGCATTCGTCTGTACTGCTCTGTCAAAACTCTCTTCTGCACTTTTTGCACGTTTGACAAGTATGTGATCCGGGTGAGATAATGTCAATTGGCTGCAAAAAGTGGTATACATGAACCAGTAAAGGACAACAAGAAACGCCATGGAATTTTTTCAATTGTGAAGGGAACCAGAAAATAAGTTGATGACAACTGAAAAGTAAATAAACAAATTAAAATTGTACCTGAGGTAGCGTGAGGATGGCTTTCCCAGATGAAGACTGCACACAACCAAATTGGCAAGAGTTTCTGGATCCTTTGCGTCCTGTGCAAACATCAAAACTCACTCATGGAGAAAATCAACTTGAACTGTCACTTCCAACACAATATGCACAGGCATGCAGCAGTATAGATGAAGAATAGAACGTATCAAATGAGATGAAAAGAAATGCAAAGCATAATAGAGCCCACCTCCGGAAAAAAAAAAAAAAAAAAAAAAAAAAAAAAAAAAAAAAAAAAATCTCTAAACTAAGCAGATGACATGCATCAAATCTAACTCTATAAATTAAAGAGGTAAGCCACGGTGGAGTTGCACATATATGTGTATTATGACAACTTGCATCATATTCTGCAATTAACAAGATAAGAAACTCTCCCAGAAAATTGAGACCCGAAAATAGCATTAGGAGCTTCAAGAAAACCAACAAACTTAAGCTATGCAAAACAGACCTTGTTTAGAGCTTCAAGCAATAGTGACTCTGCTTCATCAAAAGTCCCCATGTGCATACAGCAAACAGCCTTCCCATTCAGGATCAAGCTAGTCATTTGATATTTCTCTGAGAAGTCCTGAAAAATAAGATACGCTTCCTGTATCTTCGAACCACCCTAATTTAAAAGAATGAATCTTAAGTTTAAAGGTTTACAGTTTCAAAATCAAGCACCGTAATATAGAATTAAATAACACATACCACAGCCAAATTTAGCCACGCATTTGCAAGTTGAGTAAGTGTGTGGTCTTCATCTATCTGTTGCATGATTCTCAATTGTTTCTCTGCATAATCCGATCTGTGCATCTTCAGAAAAATTTGAACATTCAAAGCATGCCTGCAAGAGCAGTAAAAAACCCAAAAAAGTTAATATACTATCCCTAATTACAGGAAAAATATTGCATGAAATGCATTTGTTGATAAGGTGGAACTCACAATCCCCTTGTGCAATTCACACCTTATAATTATTATTATTTACGTTCTTTTGACAACTGAACCTTCGTTGAGTGGGCACCTAAGGTAGTGTATCTAAACAATAACAGAAAGATTTCGAACAACAATTTAAAACAATGACAAGTCAGGAACAAATACCCAAAGAGCTGGATATGAATTAAGTCTCATATCAAAACAGAAGCCATTGTCAAAAATTGCACCATGATTGGACACATAGAAATAGTTGAAAAAAATGCAGGCAATCACAACCCAGCACTTGTACTGTTAGCAATTTCAGGCAACCATTGAAAGGTATCTCCACACGTTCAAGCATCATTATAACAAGAAATATTTGAACAGAAACATGCTACACTAAAGAAAAAGTGTTAAGACAGACAAATCCAAGGTTTGATCTGATGGAGGAAAACCAGTGTCAAATAATATCAAACTAATAAAATTTTGTTAGCAACAAATGATCACTGAAGACAATTTAACTATAATGTATGTCTTAACTTTTTGGACAATTTAACTATAAATTAAAAAAAATAAAAAAAAATAAAAAATAAACCTCCTAATTATTTGAAATGAAATTATTAGGGAAATGGAAACGTCAATTAAAACAAAATAAAGAATAATGGGCATAAGGAAAATCTCACTGGAATTCTTATGATCAAAAACAAATAAAAGAAAACTTTATATAGACCATTTGCTAACTCTAGACGCAATTCTAACAAAAAAAATTTGGAGGAAAGCCAGGTATGGAGAAACTAAATAATTAGAGGTTTCAGGACAAATTGATGATAAGCTGGAAATTTAGTTGAAACGTATGGTGATACTACATAACTAACTCAGAGATGAGACCCACAGTGCCAAGAAAAAACACATTATTAAGGACACATTATTAAGGAGTGATGGTTTAACAAAAATTAATACTCACCGCCCCACCCCCAAAAAATTGTCAATCAAGCAAACTTAACAAATTCCATGGGACAAAAAAACATAGCACCGCCAGCAGAAGTGTGTCACAATCTACATATCCATCAAGCATCAAGCACCCCAAAGATTGCAGGAATCAACCAGACATCATCAAGATTCACCATGCTTGTCTAGAATAGAAGGGAAACAACTAGAGATTCTCATCATCAAATCTAGAAAAAGACTCACAGATCCATGGTTCCCCCTGCATTTGTATGTTTCAAAGCTTCATTATAATCCTGTTCATGCATGAATATAATCCCAGCAACAAGACGTAAGATAGGGTTGTTTCCGATGGCTGGATCTCCTAACCACTCCTGGAGACTGGAGATTGTCATTTCCTACAAAACATAGAACTACCAATTAGAATAAAGGCTTATCTGGAAATAAAATTCCAAATATGAGAGTTTTATGTACCTATAGAAATTTTAATAATATAAAGAAGGCTATCAAAAATAATTTGATCTAAATATGCCCTCCATCCTAAATAAGCAAGTAGGAAAAGCAGCATCCACAACTTGAGCTTGATATATAGTAAAATATCTGGCATGTCTTGAACAATAAAATTATACTCCTAGTCACCCTTTCACAGAATATAGAAAGATGAACCTAATCCTCAAACTCACGTCGTACATGAACATTTTGGACCTAGGAGAATGTCTACGCTTTGTCGAAAGTAAAAACTGTAATAATATTTTTTCAATAATAAGAGGACCAACGTGTAATCCTAAATTTATTCTAGCTCGTCCCTCTTCTTTTCTTTTTCTCGCTATATTTTAAGATCGGGATAGAGCATCAAGTTTTACTTCAAGGGACCAATTTCCTATAGTCATATCTAAGAGAAACTTGTTATGATTGCTTTATATACCAAACATTGTGACAGAATAATCTATGTTACTGTTACATCATTCCTAATATGCCTAAATCTGATTATCACAAACTTGCAACTCGCACAAAAGAAAGAATTAATCAAACACATCACAGACCGCCAGACCGGAATTGTAGTACTATCTGATTCTACTTGTAATGTTCCATTTTTAATCATTTTGTCAAAACAAAATCATTCATTTTTAAATATCTTAATTGAACTGAGGAAAACTTCCAGGTTGAACCCTCGTTAGAGTGTTATTCTAGTCCAGCTTCACAAGCAAAAATTCAGATTACCGCAGAATATAGCAAGATCTGATGCACGATAAATGATTCAAAAACGAACGATATTCACCTTGTTGTTGGGGTTCGAGAGGTATAAAGCAAGCAATTTTACAGCTTGAAGTGGCGTTGCTGCAGATGAATCGATCTCATTTATCACAAGCTACATCCAAAAAAAATATTAGAAATTCATGAGGTACAGAAACCTAAAAAATTGAAATTGAAAACAGAAATCGTGTTCCCAATTTACAGAATCTAAAAGTCCTACTATTTCACCTGATAACTGCCGAGGGCAATGTAAGATCTGTAAACGATTGAGTCCCTTTCAACGGCGTCGTCTGTGGAGAGACTCGGGATGTCGCTGTTATTGATGGCTGCCTGATATGCACCCAGGTAAAAACTGTTTCTCAATCCAAACAACGGGTCGGGTCCTCCTGCTGCCATTTTTGTTATATTTCTTCAAATTTCGCGAAGAAGATCAGATCTATCAAAAAATTAGTTCCTGAGCGAAGGAAGTTAGAAGCAGCTAACCAGAGCTTGAACAAAATTTTTATTGCTCGTTCCGATTTAAGAAGGCCGGTGTATTCATTTTTGGGTCTATTCGGCCCAATTATCGGGCTCGTCTACTCATTTTTGGTTGGGAAAATTTCACAAGTATTACACATTTCAAAATTAAGAAATTAAGCCCTTGTTTTAATCACATTATTGGAATAAAAATATATTTTTAAATAGTGTATTAATGATAAATATGTGATTAAGAAATAAAGATAATTTTTCGATTTGTATGTAATATTATTTTATTGAAAAATGTGTGATTGAAATGATATCAAATTACTGTTGAATAATGGTTTTTTTTTTTGTTGAAAAAATGTGGCTCAAACAATTTAAACTTTAAAAATAAAAAGTGTATTAAATTTTATTTATAACTTAATTAATTAAATATATTTAGGTCATATATCAATACAATTTGATCACAAATTAACGATTTATTAGCCACTTATTATTTTCGGTCACAGTTCAAAAATTTTATAAGTTACAATTTGTTTATTAATCAAAAATCAAAAAATTTATACGTCACGATTTATATATTGGTTACAACTTATTATACAATTACAAATTATCAAATTATCGATCACAAATTATTTCTTGGTGACAATTTATATTTTTTATTGGTCATAAATTAACCAATTTAATTGTTACAATTGACCAAATTATTTGTTGCCAACACTTGCGACCACGACCACCACAGCTAAATCCATTGCGCCAGGCAGCACCTCCACCTGCACTATTGACAAAAATCATCACAAAACCTCCAACACCACCTAGCACCAAGGCAACCCATCACCATCATACCCGGATTAGAGAAAAAACCACATCATAAACCTCAAAACCATCTCTACGCAACACCCCATCTTCACCCACCGCACCACCAGCACCTCCACCCATAGCGGCGCGACACCAACTTCGACCACAGCGATGCAACAAATTTTGAACAAATGCCCTAATCCACAACCTCCACAATCTTTAACAACACATTCACCGCTGCTACACCAAATCATTGACTGTAGCCATCAGACCACCATCTTCCCATAGTCATGAGTCGATTTCCACCATCGCCACCACATTTACATCACATCTAAATTCAAAACCACCACCACCACCACATTCACCCCAGATATCCACCAAATCGCCGACTACAATCGTTGGACCACCATCTTCCATACAATAGCGACTCGATCTCTTTGAGTTTTTGTTGTCACCACAACCTCCAGCAACAGTGGGCACAGTGGTGCTGCTCAACCGTGATCTTCTGGTGGCCATCTTCTAGTGACAATAGGCATAGAGGTCGTGAGAGAAAATGAAATATTTGATTTAAGGTTCAGTAGATATAGAAATATAGAGAGAAAAAGTGAAAGGGTTGAATGGAAATAAATTTAGGGTTTTATAGGATGGATATATATATTT